AATCTGCATACGGCTGACAAGAAAATGAGTTACATCTCATCTAAATGTAAATTAAGTGTTTTATGCCTTCAGTAAACAGTTTATGTATCCATGGTCTGTTTTAATTAACCAATTAGAATTTATTACCCGGATACTAAAGATAAGAGGCATTCTTCTGACTTTTTTTTTTTTTGGAAAATTCATGACAGCTGTCTAAAGAGAGAAAGAAACAAGAAACAATTTTTCTGGCAGAGGAAAGGAATTTGACTGATATCTTGGCTTTCAAGTGAGACACATTTGCTTGAAATCTCGCTAGATGGTGTGTTCTTGGTTTGAAAGCTTGCGTGTAGCAATCACAGCGAATATATCATTGTTGGAGAGCTGAAACTACTGCTCACAAAACTACAAGAAAATCAGTATTTGAACAGGTTCAACTGCACTTATGCTATTGTTTTGTTTTAATTAGTCACGCAAGACTTTTACAAACATGAAAAATAATTAATTTATTTATGAGGTGTAGTAAAGCCAATGAATAAATTATTATTCCATAAAGTAAAAATATATTCCAATTACTAAATAAAAACAAAAACAATATTTTTTAAGTGACTTTTACATGAAAAAAAATATTCACGTCAACACCAGAATGTCTAAAAGTTTCCTTTTTAAAAAAACAGCTGAATAAAATGTCACTCTACTGAAAGATTTTGTTATATTATTATCAGTTTGTTCAGTTTGTTTATCTTATTATCTTTTTTTTTTTCAAAAAAATTTCTGGTACAAAAAATTGCTTTAAAGGGTTTGTTCACCCAAAAATGTGAAAACTATAATTATTTACTCACCCTCATTCCATTCCAAAACCCTAAGATTAAGATATGTGTAATTAAATTAAAATCTTCCTGATCCTGCACAGACTGTAATGATCCCAGCTCATTCAAATACACATCCAGAAAAATAATAAAAACAGTAGTGCAGTGGTTCAATCTGAATATCATTAAACTGCAAGGATACTTTTTCATATGATTGAAGTTGTACATCCGCTAGTTCCCGCCTCTGAATGAGCAAGTTTTGTTACTTGTTGCTTTAAAAAAAAAAAAAAAAAAAAAACACCCACAAAGAAACTTAACACTAAAGAACATAAAAACCTACTGCCAGCTAGCGTTTCGAAAGTGTTATTTTAGAGCAACACACACCACGCAGAAGTATAAATGCACGACTACACGCAAGGCAGGCACCATGGGTCATGCCTATCACTTGATGCAGAAGTATAATCCAGGCCTTAACAATATTTGGTAATTTTCTATAAGTTGAAAGAAACTATTGCTGTCTATGGAGGATCAGGGAGCTCTTAGATTTAATCTAAAATATCTTAAATTGCTCCTGGGGGTTTGGAATGAAATGAGGGTGAGAAAGGAATAACAGACTTTTTGGGGGGTGAACTAACCCTTTAAATTGTTGATGATTGGTATTTCTTGCCAAATGGTGCTGCAAGCACGCATACATTGGGGAAAATAGGTATTGAACACGTCATGTTTGTTGCTGGGAATAAAATTTATAAAGGAGCTGTTGACATGGAGTTAAACCAGGTTCTGGCAAAAAACCAACGATGGCTCTCATGTGGAGAATGAAGTCACATGCATTGATCAGGTGTGGGGGTTTTTTTTCCACAGACTTCAACAGAGTGTAAAAATCTTGATAGTTCTGAGGGTCTTGTCTATCAAATCTAATCTTTATTTTGTATTGCCCTTTTTTGTATTTCTATTGGATTCAAGTCAGGTGATTGGCTGAACCATTCTACAGCTTTCTTTTCTTACTCTGAAACCATTTGAGAGTTTTCTTGGCTGTGTTTTGGATCATTGTCTTGCTGAAACGTCCACCCTAGTTTCATCTTCATCACCCTGATAATGTTGGACTAAAGCTACTAATATTGATTTACAATAATGATGGGCAAGAGGATTCTAAAGAACTACTGAGAGATTCCAGCTGCTGTCTGGGCATTCGCTGCCTTTCTACACATCCCTTTTTTCATGTGTTCAATACTTTTTCCTTGTGTCATTTTAATTAATTAAACATAACTTAATTTGTGAACTAATTAGTTTAATTTTCTTTGCATATATGGGTTTCTTTGGTTGTGGTCAACAACACCTTTAGAAATGTTTTCTAGAAAAAAAAAGGCGACATGTTCAATACTAAGTTCCCCTATAGGGAACCTCCGTATTGACAAAAAATGCTTAAAGGATTCCAATTACTGCAAAAGGGTCCTACAAGAACTGCAAAGACTGTCAGTGGTTCCTAAAAAGGAACCCCTTTTTGAGAGAAAGAGCTTTGAGGCACTTAAAATACATATTGAAGTTCCCTGAGTACTCAACAGGGTATTTGAAGTTATTAAAAATAAATGAATTTGCTAATACTCATTACGGATATATTTATTTTGAAAAAGGGTTGATGCTAATACTTTGAAATGTGATGATGTACAATACATCATGTACAATACATGAAGTTCAAGATGTGATATTTTGCCCTTTGACTATATTTTTTTTATATCATTTAAATTTCAAAGGTGCTGACTTTCACTGTAACAAAGGAGACTCTGCAAATGGTGAAAAGTTATCACTTGCTGACAGGTGGCTTTCTGATAAATGAGCCCACATCACCAGAAACCTTTACATTTCCACATCTTCTTCAACATAAAGAGAAGAGTGTTTGATTAATGACCATCTACGTTAAGCTCCGAAAACTTTGCTGAACTATTGCATCTCAAGTCCTTCAATTGACACGGGGGCTTCAGCTCTCAAAGTCACTTACGTCAAAAGCCTTGATTGTTGCCAAGAAAGTGTCGCTTCCCTTTTGTCAGTGTGCAAGTGGTTAACATCATTTCACTGCAGTGTTGCTTTGCTGAAGCAGCAACAGGACATTAATTTGACATTAGCGCTGTAACATCAATTCCTCTCCATTTTCCAACTTGGATAATGCGTTTACTGGAAGCAGATTAATATCTATTCCATAAATCATTCAGAGAATTTGCCGAGCCAGAGACATGGGGGTAATGTCATATATGTTAGCTGATCCTGGTCTTGCGGGTGGATGTTCATTAATCAGTGCCTCGGGGTCCTTGGGGCCAGTCAGATGGGGAAACAGAGAAACTTATAAAACATCCTGATTATTTATTTATATTGACTTTGGCTCTGAAACCCATGTTATTATTCCGTGTCCTTTTATTGCCGTCCTTCACTGCATATCATCGTCATCCACTCTTGGATATCGCTTTCACAAACTACTAGCATCAGCATACAAGCAAGCTCACAACAAACATCAGTTTTGATAGCAATAAAGATCTCTGTGGTGATGGATGGCTCGATTCCTCAAGCGGAATGTGAACAGGGTTTTATTTTTAGTCCGGTAGAGCTTCTCAAAATCATATAGATTGATCAAGTTACTTTGGAATTGATTGGAAGAGGTCAGTTTTACGTTTCAGACACTAGATCCGTAACCAACTGCTTTTTTCAGCTTAACATTGAACACAAACTCACCAGCAACTGCTCGATAAGACCAGAAAGACTTGCTCCACCTAGAAATTGTACTATTACAGAATATTTCCAAGACCAAAAAATCTATATAAAAAAAACCCTCCCCACGGGGAGCCGAGCCACAGGCGAGCTTTTTCCCCGCAGAGGGGTGAATTGGTTGCCTGTCAAGAATATGAAAGCTGAGTCTCATCTGCTGGAGACCCTGAACCTAATCTCCCAGCAAAGAATGATATTGTGCCTGTTCCAGCCATACTGATTCACTGTCAATCTGGCCCAAAGCTGCTCTCAGCTGCCCACTTGACCTTGTCACTGCAAAAGCACTTTATTTTCATTACATCACTGTTCATTCAGACCAGCAAAAAAAAAAAAAAGTGCCAAACAAAGGCCATTTTACTCAAAGCATTCTTCAAAATATCATAACTTGCTTTAATTACAGTTTTCAGCGAGGTAGACCGACAAGAGCAGTCACTTTCAAATGAAACGCTTTAATTTTAACCCCCTCCATTTAAAAGGGAGATAATTATCCATTAAAAGCCCCGCTCACATGGACAATAGTCTCTCTTCGAGCTGTGCTGCCATATACGAAAACAGTATGGTTAAACAAAAGACACTGACGATGATTTCTGTACAAAACATGTTTGACTATTGAAGTCTACTGCTCTCCTGGGAAATCAAGGGGGTATTGCATTTGAAGAGGGACCATAGTGTTATTCTAACCGTTCAACGTATACATGCTGCTAAATCTTTAATTAACTGCCATGTTAATACATTGTTCAGCTAAGGTGCCGTTTAATTGATATTCTGGTTATATAGGAGATAAATTAGATCATGAACATGTCAACACCACACGCTTACGTTAATATGTTACATCCGGCTTGTTCTCATGACAAGCTCAGCACATGCTTTTAATGGCGACTTAAAACAATCCTTCGTAATAAATAATGTTAAACAATGTGGTTATTTGAATAATTGTATACATTTATGTTTGTGTATTGATTTATTAAAAGTTTATTAATGCTAAACTGTATGTTAAAAATGCTTTTAGCATTCCAGACTAGTGGAATGACAACTATAAGAATCTCAATAACACGTTGATGATGAAATAAAAACTATTGTACTATAGTTTCAACACAATCTAGAATTCTATATTCATTCCTTAATTTTATCACACCTTAGTAGTGAAAAAACTACAATACCATTAAAAAAAGTTTAATATTATATGCTAATTAGAACTTTTATTCAGTATGAATGTATTAAATTGATCAAAAGTGACAGTGAAGAAGTTTACAATGGCTGGTACAAATATTCACGCGGCACATCACTCCTATTTAACACCAATCCAAATGTGTGTGCATTTGCATGTTTTGCTAGCTTGATGTAGATGCATTTTCAGATTACAAAAGGGACTTATTTTCAGAAAATAATATTAAGTAGGTATTACATTTAGTTTGGAGAAAGAGAAAAGGAGAAATGTACAAAATACAAATAGTCTCTCACCACTCTCAAAGCACGCATCGAAAATGACATGGCCTTTCTTGGGTGGTCCGGTGTATCCTGGAGGAGTGACCATCAGTTTGTTTACGTTCCCCACAAGAGCATCCTCTCCTCCTGCTTCATTATCTGCCACACAAACAGTCAAAAATATTGTGAATGACCCTCAAATACTACTAAAATACTTTAAATCACTTATTTAAATTAATATATATATAAATATATATATATATATATATAAATATATTTATGCTATATACTATTTGTTATGATTGGTGACAACTTTACAATTATTTGGCAAAAGTTAAAGCATTTTCTAAAACTAAGTAATTTAATATTGTCACGTAATTAGAGTTGTGGTCTGAGTGCACTGTATGACAATAACAGCACAGACAATGAATTTCTCAATTTATTTAACTAACATGAGCTGATTTGACAATGTAACCAAAACATTAAAAAGCTAAATATGTTAGTGTTGAAATTTTGGGGAATGTATTTAAATCGAACTTGCGATTCTTATGCACAATACAGAAAAAGTAATTAGAACAATAGAAAATGTGAAGAATTTGAAGTATAAAAATTTAGTTTTTAAATTGAAGATACTCAAGTTCAATTAATTAGTTAAATTTGAAACAGCATAATTTATGTTTAAAGCTAGGAATAAATTACTTCAGAAATGCATACAAAAGTTTTAATTTTTTTAAAGACAAGGGGGATATAATCTGAGAGAAGAACTGAATCTTAGGTGGTTTGAAACAAGGACAACTTTAAAAATGCGTACTGTATATCTGTATGTGGTGTGAAATTATGGAACAGAGTCTCAAATAATGTAAGGATATTATTAAATGTAAAAATATATACATCTTATTAAAAGGAATGTAATGACTAATAGAGGTGATTGAAAAAGAACAAAATGAGAAAAGTATGATGAAATTTTAATTAATAACTGTTTGCAATACTATGTATTTTTTTGGGTCTGTGTAATAAATTGTAAATGTACAAATGGAATCAAACATATGTCAAAGATGCCGAAATGATAAAATATGTTTCATGTAAAGCTCAGGTCTCATGTAAAAAGACAGAAGTAAAAGAAAAAACGTTAGTTGAAGTAATAGACAAATGATGTGTGTGGTAATGGGGTGGGGAAAATGATAAGCTTGTGCTTCATCCCGCTCCATTTTGACCATGTTGAAATGTATTTTGATTAAAGAATTGTTGTGTATGATTATGGTCAAAAGAAATAAATAAAACCTGATCAAATAAAAAGCTAAAAAAAAAAAAAAAAAAGATATTTGCAAATGAACATTTAAAAAGATGAGATCATTAAAATCACACTGTTGTTATAATAAATAAAAAAAATATTAGAAAGCACAGGAATGTATAGATCTGGCAGCATTAGACTAAAGCATGATTTAATCACTTATCTTTGCATAACACATTTTTTGCAGTTAGCACAATACACAATAGCTTTTTTGACAATACCTTGGATAAAATCATTAATTTCATGTGTCACTAAACAAAGAAAAGGTTCTTGAGAGCACATGTACAAATCACAACCTTTTAATTTTCACAAAGCCCTTCATTTGAAAATCAAGTTCTGTGCTGTTGACTGGCAATTTTCACCAAATTTCAGTAACAACCAAAGCAATATAAAAGAAAGGAAAAATTATTAAAAACATGAAGAAAGGAAGATGTTAAATGGCAAGGAATGCCCAGACAGCAGCTGAAATCTCTCAGTAGCTGGAATCAGGGTGCAAACTATGGGGGCTCCCCTGAATACAAGATTTGTGAAATTTCGAGGGGTCTCAAAAATATTCACAATGTGTTATTTTGCGGTTATATGTGTGGTCTCAGTGTTGTGTAAGGTGATCAGGAATTTGTTTGAGATTGATTTACCGGAGTAAAAAGATCCCATGACATTCTATAGTCCTATAAAAAAAATTTAAAAACCATATGCTGTCCTTGGTGCCATTGTCTTGAACTTAGAGCGAATAGAAAAATGATTGTTGAAAAATTATATTTTGTATATTTAGCCCCCACAAACCCTCCCCTGCCCTTCATCAGCAAAAATGATCATTAGATGCTTCAGCCCCAACACCTACATAGACCCTTTTCACAAGACTCTTATGCATTTGACATGTCATTATATCATCTTTGCATCAATATACAAAAAAATTATTGCCACTTACGCAAGTTGTTTCTAATGCAGCATCTGTGGGCAGGACAGTAAATTTAACATTGTTCTCTTCCCTGGCTGCTGTTGTTAGTCTACACTGGAAGTATTGATAAAACCATCATGGGTTTTACTTTTATTATGTGAGCAAATGTGCTTGTAAAAAAAAAAATTAAGTTTACCCAACTACGATAATTTCCGCTGCAGAAAAACCCAGAAATGTGAAAAGGATTCAATACCAGATGATGAAGATAAAGCATGAGTGGACATTTTAGCAAGACAATGACCCTAAATACAACAGAGGAAACTCAAGACACTGGTTTCAGACAAATAAAATAAAGCTTCTAGAATGGCCGACCCACACACCTTAAGATCAATCTTAACACTTTTATATTATTCTTAAGTTAAAATAAATTCTGCTATGCAAACAATTATATTTACATGTATTTTTTTTTAAATGGTACCTTTTTCTTCAAATTATAAAAAAACAAACTACTCTAAATTACATTGTATATTATTAAATATGTAAGAAGTGTCATTGGTAGTTTAAAATTATAGCTAAACAATTGTAACTATTATTTAACTATGATTAATTATGTATATACTTATAATAAACACAAACCATATACTACAACCAAACTCAGAAACAGTTTTGAGGAAGCTTGTCTTCTCGTCTAAACAAGGCTGATGTGGGATCTGATTCATCCCTTCCTGAATGTAGCCTAAACGAATACACGTCCAATAAATTGATAAAAAATTTAGAGCAAGTCAGTAACTATAGTCCCATAAAGACGTAACAGAGTCAGTAAAGTATACTGTAGGTATGCCAATCACCGTTTAAATGAATGTTCATCGTAACAAAACAGCACTACAAACACACGTGGTGATGCATATCATGACTTACGCAGCTGTACCTGAATACTTATCTCAATACATAGGCGCTCGGTATTATTTTGCCTCTACATGGTGGTAAGTGTCACATAAACAAGATTTTATTCGGCTAACGTTAGCAAACAGTCGCTATGTTTACATAGACGAAGCGCTGATATCATGCACCTGTTTCTCGCTCTCCATGCAGAGACCGAATCATGTGCGCATATGTAAATGGAAAATGGTTAAAATGACTCTTTATGAATGTGTTTTAATTTTACACACCAGTATCGAGATGTTCTCTGCTGTTTTCTTCCATCATCCTCTCATAACAACCACTGGCTGGCGACGCTGAAGGTGCGTTTCCAAGACGACGGCGTACTGCGCGCGAGAGGAAGGATTTGACGTAGCACGAAAACGGCACAGCTCCCCCAGCCACACGGATGTCTTTTCACACCGCACCAGCTAATGTTATGTGTAGCCCTATAAAGCGTTCAAAGCGTAGGAAATGTCAGGTGTTAATATAGTCATTTAGTAAGTGCTGATAAACCAAGAACTACAAGAGAGATAAGTGATTTTGACCCTTACATAGAGTGGATTTACCCTTAATTTTTTAACTTCAATTAGGGAAATGGGCAATATGAAAAAGAGTTATTATGACTCTGAACTGACCTTCTTTCTTTTTTTATGCATATAATGCTCTTAGATATTAGTAAATAATCATAAAGAATATTCTCAAAATAAGAGACAAGCTAATAAAGGCATTTTGAAAGATGATTTGCGGATTTATTTTTTTATTTATTTTTATTTATTTTTTTTGTTTTGTTAAACCATCTATACATTATTCCAACAGGCTTTTGTTAGAAAATAAGTAGGCTACTGTATACTGTAGGTGTTAGGTCATGGAGTACATGTATGCGCACATAGCCTATATTTTTATACTTTTACATGTTTGTATATTTTTGTTATTATTATTTTGTTTATAATTTTTCATTTTATGTATTGACTTAATTTTTTACACAAGGTTATCATTTATAACAAGTTATCATTTATAACAGAAACTGTTTTGGCCTTTTGCAAGACTGCATTTAGTGGGCACATCAGAAAAAAAAAAAAATCCTGTTGTCGTGTGAACCCCGAAAACAAACGCTTTTGAAAACTATCCCTCATTTTTCATTACGTGACAGTCATGCAACTTCTCCTCAGCTTAAAGCAAGATGGCTGATGTGGAACATCATGTAAACCTGGGGTGCCCAAACTCTGTCCTGGAGGGCTAGTGTCTTGCAGATTTTAGCTCTAATCTTGCACACCAGCAAGATTATTTTTAGAAAGCCTAGTAAGAGCTTGATTAGCTAGCACAGGTGTGTCTGATTAAGGTTGGAATTAAACTGTACAGGACACCGGCCCTTTTGGCACCGCACCGCTGATGTAAGCATATAGATTTCAGTTTCATACACTGCAAAAACTGCTTTTCTTTCTTAGAATTTTTGGCTTGTTTCTTGTCCAAATATCTAAGTATTCTTAAATCAGTATTATTTTCTACACGAGGAAAACATATTGTCTTGTTTTAAGAAAAAAAATACGCCAAAATATTGTTTTCCTTAAAACAAGCTAAATAATCTGCCAAAGGGGTAAGCTAAATAATATTGTTTTTCGTTTTGACATATACGATTAGTTTTCTTACCCCAATGGCAGATTATATTGTTTGTTTTAAGGAAAAACCCACTTAACTTTGGTATATTATTTCTGAAAACAAGCAGTGGTGTGAAGTAACAAATTACAAATACTCACATTGTTTCTCAGAAATTGTAATTTACTAAGTAGTTTTAAAAATGTGTACTTTTACTTTCCATTGAATGCATTTTTAGTGCTGTATCTGTGCGTTTACTCCACTATTTTCCTTAAAACTAAACAAACTAAGGAACTGAGAATTAATGAAAAAATGAATGAATGAACAAAGAACCAAATGAAGGAAGGAACAAAAGAATGAAGGAACGAAGGAAGGAACAAATGAATGAAAAAGCAAAAGAACATCCAAATGAATGAAGGAAGGACAGAACAAACAAACAATGGAAGGAAGGAAGGAAGGAAGGAGGAAATGAATATGGGAAGATCACTAAATGCACTACAGATTGTTACGTTTATGCATCCCTGCACAAATTGCATGTAAACACATCAACTTTTTCACAGCTTAATATTTAGTACTCACTACTCTTAAATACTTTTAAAATGGCTATTTTTACTTTAAATAATATTTACCACACATACTTTTATTCTACTTGCACTACATTTTTGGGCAAGTATGGTACTTTTACTCGAGTATGATTTTTCAGTACTCTTTCCACCACTAAAAACAAGACAATTGTTTTGCTTGTCTAGAAAATGCTTCTTGGTTTAAAGATTTTTAGACATTTGGACTAGAAACAAGACAAAAAAAAAATAAAATAAAAAAAGAATAAACATTTTTTTTGCAATGGATACTTTAGATTGTGTCATTCAGAAGATACAAATAGTGTTTGCAAAAACTTGGGTAAAGATGAGCTACATGGAAAATGATTGAAAACACTATGGACAAAAAACATTTTACAAATTAATTATAAATCTTATATTTTTTAATGTGGGAGGGGGGTGTCCGGCTTGGGTACCACAGGATCCCATCTCTGTTATTCGCAGACGATGTTGTTCTGTTAGCTTCATCAAACATGGACCTTTAGCATGCTCTGGGATGAGAATAAGCACCTCCAAGTCCGAGGCCATGGTGCTCCACCGGTAAAAGATGGTTTGCCATCTCCAGGTTGGAGGAAAGTCCTTACCCCAGGTGGAGGAGTTCAAGTGTCTTGGATATTTGTTCACGAGTGAGGGAAGGATGGAACGTGAGATTGACAGGCGGATTGGTGCAGAGGCAGCAGTAACGCAGTCGATGTACAGTACCAGTCTGTTGTGGTAAGCCAAAAGGCCGAAAGGAAAAAGCTCTTGATTTACCAGTCAATCTACATTCCTACTCTAAACCATGGTCATGAGCTTTGGGTCATGAGGGAAAGGACAAGATCTTAAATACAAGCAGCTGAAATGAGTTTCCCTTTACAGGGTGGCAAGGCACACCCTTATAGAAAGGGTGAGGAGCTCTGTCACCCGGGAAGAGCTCGGAGTAGAGCTGCTGCTCCTCCACATTGAGAGAAGTCAGCTGAGGTGGCTCAGGCATCTGTTTCAGATGCCTCCTGGACACCTACATAGGAAGGTGTTCCAGGCTTGTCCCACTGGGAAAAGGCCTCGGGGAAGATCCAGGACACGCTGAAGGGACTATGTCTCTCGGTTGGCCTGGGAACAACTCGGGATCCCCCCGGAGGAGCTGGTGGAAGTGTCTGGGGAGAGGGAAGTCTGGAGTTCTCTCTTCAACCTGCTGCCCCTGCGACCCGGCCTCAAAAAAAACTAATAAAAAAAAACTCAAGAAAATTAATGAATGAATATTTTTTCATATTAGTGTAGATATTTGTGTACACCTGTCCTCATAGTTTATGGAATTAAATCCAAGCTATAAACAAGCTGCAAGTAAAATAAATGTTTATTACAAAGACTGCATTTGATGCAAATGTTTATTTACCACAAAAAAATTACTGCGTGTCATCAAGGCAACATTCAAATTCACAATAAAGTGGCAGTGATTTTACGGCTTGGTGTTGGATATTTCAAATGACCACATTCACTATAAGATTTCAATTGCTCTGACCTTCACAGTGATTAGGATATAGTGACGCTCGCTTTTGAGTTTGAATTCACTCTCTAGAGCCTTAATAATAAAAAAACACTCAACATTTTGGCCTTATGTAAATATGAAAAAAGGAGAAAAATATTATACCTGATATTATATTCAACCTAATATCATCTTTTCTTATATTGCGGGGACAGAGATAGCCGTCATCAGTGGTCTCTTCAAGTGTTTCATATTTTAAAATTGCAATGTTCTTCGCAACTGACACAGGCTGTCTCTCAATATAGATTGATTAAAGTGTATGGATTCCAGGACAATTGGAGCATAGCCTATGCCATCAACCACAATCAAATCCGACCTCATTCATTTTCCATTAATAGTGCAGCTTTCTGATTAGCCTGCAAATGAACAACCATATGACTTGCGTTTCAGGAGGACATAGGCATAGAGACCCTCAGACACTAATTTTCAGGTTATGAGCGAAGCGGCGAGTGTCAGAAGCGGATGAAGAGAACGGGGGTCATCTTTAATAAGACAAAATTGGCAATGATTTTCTTTTTTTTCCCTGCGATCATATTTGACGGCAAACTACAACCAGCAGGGCAGTCAGGGTAGTGTGATTGTTTTTTAAATAATGAGGAATTGTGCAGCATGGTACACCCTTCAAACTGAAAATTGAAAAGCTGTCCTTCATGGTGTGTCATTCCCTAACATCTCCAATTATCTGGCTCCATGCCTCCCTGTTTATTTATTGAGACTGTCAATTCGTATTATGAATCGGGCGACAAAAATATAGATCGTTCAACATGATCCCCTCCTTTTTTCTTTTTTTTCCTTGTGCTTTTTATGTCTGCAGATATCCACGAACACCAGGCACATAGATACAGTTAAAGTCAGAATTATTAGTTCAACTGAATTATTAGCCCCCTGTACATTTTTTCCCCCAATTTCTGTTTAACTGAGATTTTTTTCAACACATTTCTAAACATAACTAGTTTCTAATAACTGATTTCTTTATCTTGATGACAGTACATAATATTTTACTACATATTTCTCAAGATATTTAGCTTAAACTGACATTTAAAAGCTGAACTAGGGTAATTAGGCAAGTACAACAGGGGTTTATTTCAGACCAGAGTTGCCCAAATTAGGGTCCGCGGGACAAAGTTGGCGCATTAACCTCTGATTTGGTCCACCATCCCATCTGAGAGGAGAGTGAGACTGATGAAGAGGGTTGGGGTGTTTTATTGCTGAGCCACAAAAAAAGAAAACTGAAGTTTAATGTTTCATTTAAATAAATCTGAGATATTAAAATGTCACTTGACATACACAGGACTAGGCAGAAGAACATGGCGAGCAAAGCAAGGCAAAAAACTAGCTTAATTCCATTCTGCTATAAATTAGATTGTTTTTGCTTTTACTGTAATAAGTTCATTTTATATATTATTACCTTCGGCCCACTAGCCTCAATGACTTTTTATTTTCTTTATTTTTATGATTTTTGGCCCTTCATAAGAAAAAGTTTGGGCACCCCTGCTTTAATGACTATTTAGACATTACACTGTGGTCTTTTATCTCTTATATAATATTTAGTACTCTTCCTAGTAAAAGCCAACATGATTATACCAGGAAATT